GAAAAAAGGAACTCCTAATTTTATAATTAATCTTTTTTCCTGGATGTATTCAACTATTATGATAGTTGAAGAATTTTCATATTAAACTCAATTTCTCTTCCATCAGACAGGTAGCCACAGGCACGATCTGGAGGTGCACAGGTGTGTGATCTGGGGGTCCTTCTGAACTCACCTCTCCTGCTCAAAGAGCAGCTGGCAGTTGTAGCTAGGAGGGCCTTTGCGCAGCTTTGTGTTGTGTGCTAGTTGTGCCATTCCTAGACCAGGGGCTCTGCTCATAGTCACTTATTCCCTCATCACCTCCAGATTGGATTCCTGTCAAGCACTCTACATGGGGCTCCTTTTGAAGAGTATCCAGAAGATTCAGTTGCTCTAGAATGGAATGGCATGCATGCTTCCAGGACCAATTCAAGATGCTGGTTTTAATTTTTAAAGCCCTTCATGAAATGGGAGCAGGTTACCTGAGGGACCATCTCTCTCCAGTTACATTTGCTTGTCCCAGGAGATCTGGGAGAGACCCATTTTGCTGGTCATGTCTCCTAGGGATTTGACAGTTCCCAGGAGATGGGCCTTCTCTGCTATGGCGCCTGCATCATGAAACATTTTCTCTAGCCCAATCCCTAGTGTGAAGTTAGCTCCATCCCTCTTAACATTTCACAAGTCCCTCAAGACTTGGCCAAGATCCATGATGGCACAGTGGTTCGAATGTAGTATAGCATGCCAACTCTGCTCACACTGCCAGGAGTTCAATTCCTTCGATCCTGGCTGGCTCAAGGTTGACTCAGCCTTCCATCCTTTCGAGGTTGGTAAAATGAGGACCCAGATTGTGAGGGCAATATGTTGACTCTGTAAACTGCTTAGAGAGTTCTGTAAAGTACTATAAAGTGATTGCCTTTGCTATGTCATCAAACCTAGAACTCCCAGGGCACTGGTGATATTTCAAGATGGTTTATCATTACAATTCATACTCACTTTCTCCTTGCTCTGGTTTTATATTTTAAATAAGGACCATTTTATATATTCATTGTTTTATTTAATTGTATGCCACCCAGAATCATTTTTAATGAGATGGGAAACTGTATAAATTTGATAAACAAACAAGCATGCAAATAAAATCAGGCTGCCTATACTCCTGTCATTGAATTGTGTGCTACAAACAATTTCAACTTGGCCATGTTACCCATTGAGAATATCACAATTGATTTATTCCAAGTTAGATCTGTTTTTTAATAATCCTTTTGAAAAAGAGGTCATTTTGTTCCACAACTCCCTTATGTTATTTCTGCATAAATTCTGTTTACCTGACTGTATCTTCTTTCATCCTACCTATTCACTAGGTTGACTTTACTCATAAACTCAACCACAACTTTTAGATGTGACTGAGAAGATTGTCACAAAGGACCTTTTTCAAGAGGCTATTGGACTTCCTTTGGCTTCTTTGTTTTGTGTTTAATGAAAAAACAAAGGAAGTCCAGCTGCCTTTTGAAAAAGCTCCTTTGTGACAACCATGACCTGGATGAATGAGAGTCTCCATAGACTGAGAAGATTTTTTTTAAAAAATCAGGAATTAAAATTAAGGAAAAATCTCTTTTACCAATTTCCTCAGTCTAAGCAGTATCTGGAAAGTTGAGCCATCCAAACATCGAAAAGATACCAGGAGTGTTTTTACCAAAATACCAATCTGGCTAGTTGAAAAAGGATCACACTGTATGGATATTACAACAAGGGTAGAATGGTTCATCTTTTGAATTAGCAGAACATATGCTTTGGTATTACCACACAAAACTGTATAATTAACTGGAGAAGATCCTTCTATCTTGGCCAGGGCAATTTGCTATAGGTGCAAGTAGACAATGATTGACTAAAGAGGAGGTGGAAGATTTTTTTCCCCCAGAGATTAATTCTGCATTCAGTCTTGTGGGATTTGTCACATGTCATATTGAAAAGAAGTACAAAGACATTGAAAGGACATGGGGCTAAATTGGTAAGGTGCAGGAAATGAGGAAAAGGCATTGCAGCTGCCTTCTAGGGAATGTGCCCAGGATATTTCCTAGGATTAAATGCCATCAGCTTCTGACAATCTTCTATGTAAAGCCCTTCTAAATGGAAGTCATTATTCAGTTGTTGATATTAAGAGCTTTATGCAAACTCTCACTAGTAGGGTTTTTTAGGGAGAAATAGGAATTGGAAAAAGTTGGCATCAATTGTGAAATTACTAAACACATTGACATAAGGAGAGTAGTTTGTTTATAAAACTGTTTGGTGGAGAGGAAGACAAGATAATAAGAATTTGGTGTATCACATTTTTCGTGAGTTTCTAAGTGTGGGGCAAGACATAACTGAAAACAATAAAAATAATTTTGATTATTATTATCACATTGTTATTAAAAACAAACATGTTTGGGCTAATTAACTTAATATTTATTCAACACATTGTGGAAAATAATTGTTAACAATTACTGGGGATTCTCTGCGTTTGAGAAGTTTTGAATGAAAATTTCATAGCCATCTCTTGGAAAAACAGACCTGTTTAAACTCAGTGGAAAGTGTGACGCAAAAAATAATAATTGAATTTTGAAGACATTTTCATGGATTGTGCACTTAAAACATCACTGGTTAAGAAAAAACCTTTAGCATTGTTCAGAGACACTATTTTGGAGTGATTTCCAAACAAATGAGGAGGGATCTTTGATGGCCTCGGAAGGATGTTGTGATCTCACAATCACTAAATTAAAAGTACAATGAAGATAAGTGCTATTGAAGGAGAAAAGTTGTAAGAACAAATGATTTAAAGCTGTAGAAAATTAGATATTTCTCTTTTTTTCCCCCTCCAGAACAGTGGTCGTCAACCAGGGACCACTGGTGATCCGTGAGAAAATTTTGGTGGTCCGCAGAGAAATGTCCCCCTCAAAGCACTTCCCCCAAAGCAATTAATCCAGGCTGTGCGGGAACACAAGGCTGCGTTGCTCACATGGCTCGCCCCCCCCGGCCCCCACTTTTCAACTGAGTGCAAACTTTACCTTCAGTAGAGCCATGCGAGCTGGAACTGGAAGGTAAGACCAACAGTGGGGGAGGGAAATCCGCCCCAGGGTGGCTTGCTGATATTGGTGGGAAAGTCGGTCCCATATACCGGAGCTGCAGTAGTCACAGGACTGGCCGTTTGGTCATCCTGGAGCAGCTGCTCCTCCACCCGAGTGCACCAGCCTGCCATGGACTGGAGGAGCAGCTGCTCCGGGATGACCAAAGGGCCAGTCCTGTGACTACTGCAGCTCTAGAATATGGGACCAACTTTCCCACCAATGTCAGCAAACCACCATCAGTCAAAATTCATATTAATGGTCCGCGGGATTTGAAATTATGAGTTTGGTGGTCCCTGAGGTCCAAAAGTTGGCGACCCCTGTTCTAGGAAGAAGGAAGGGTCTTTGGCATGTTAAAGAGCAGAGGCAAAACCTCTTGAATGAGGAATGTTTTATTCCAAAGGAGCATAACATCCCCTCCCGGTTTGTTCTTAATGTGGAATGTGTGCTATGAGAACAGACAAACAAATGGTGCTCTCTTCCCACTGCAGCAGATGCCTCCTTCCTTCTCATACACAATGGGTGTGTGTCTGTTTGAGTTTCCATATAACTACGCTATTTTGTTCTGCACATACACACACAGAGAAAGAAGTTTAAAACAAACAGGACAGTTTTGTTTTCTATGTTTCAGGGTCAAAATCAGCCAACTTTCTTCCCTAAAGCTTAAAAAGAAAACCATTTGCAGGAGCAAAGAGTTTGGATATTTGAAGGGAGAGAAAAAGAAATTCTCCACTGGCACCAGATCTCTAAATAAAATAGGTAACATTCATTTTGCTCCACACTAAACAAAAGCAATCAGTGCTCTGTATAAACTTCAGAGCAATAAAGATCACTGAAAATTATTCTTCTGTGTGGTTAAAAATAGAGTAAAACAGCGGAAACTTCTGCTAATGCATTACATTAATTATCACTTATCCAATTACAGGCCTTGGAAATTCCCTGCCTTTTTAACCTTCCCAGCCTTTGTATCTGATAAATGACAGCAAATTATTTGAAAAGTAAAATGGATCTCTGTGATTCTAAGGCCAAAAGATATTAAAACAGAAATCATTTTAGTAAAAGCAAGAGATGACTGTGATTGAGGTATGCTTCACAGAGAGGCTTAGCCTAAAGGCTGATTTGACAACTTTCATAACTAATTTTTTTGTTAACGCTGCATTTTAACAAACTAAAATTAAAACCTGCATGATAAAACAAAGAGATTTTTTTTCCCCAACTGGTGAGTTGGTATCTAGAATACTGTATCTGAAAAATCCTTCCAGGCTTGTCTGCTCCCAGCAACGTATTAAATAGCAAATATCCATGACCTGTCTGAAGATGAAAGTGCTTCCTTTTAGAAGGAAGGTTGTTTTTGGCAAGAGAAAAGTCCAAACCAACTTCCTTGACTTCCTGGTAATAAGAGGTTATATTAGCAATATTCAAAAATATTCTTGCTTAACTATTGAAGAGAGGCTATGGAGAATATCACAAGAGATATCCCAACTCTTGAGGAAAAAAACCCAACTCAATTAGGCTAAGTTTTAGGAACAGCTCCTCCCCTGTCTCCCCACCTTCTGAATCTTGGCCTGGCTATAAGTATGGATAACAAAGATGGGAGTAGATGCTTCAGATATTCTTCTTCAATGCATAGATACTGACAAGTTGGTGGCAGATGAGGACCAGATCACCCTGCAGGCTCAGAATAATACAAATAGCTCAAATAGGGTTTGACCTAAGCACAAAATCTCTGCTCCCAGCAATGTGTGACTGTATCCCAGGGAAAAGCATAGTAGACCATTTGACAGGATGAGGCCATAGCCAAAGGTGCAATCATAGCTCTGATGAGGTATATAGCTGATGATCTATATATCTAAAATTAAATTCATCTATGCACACTGACACACACACAGGCATATGAGGATAAGCTGTCAATGCCCATTGTATTACCATTTGAAGGATTCCACTGTAGGACATCAAATAACCAGCATGAGCAACTTCCAGACCAAAGAAATCGATGGATATGATGGAAAGCATAATTAGGAACACTCCTAGGGTTAAAACAAAAACACTTATTTTAGGATAACCAGGAAACTGTTATTGCAATTATTGTATTTCTGTTCTCTTGCGGAATCCAATCTGAGTCAGTGACAGGGACCAGAGATTTATTCTTCCAAATTCCTGCTGCTTTTCATGTAGTTTTCTTAAGTCACAATATGGAAATGGGGACCATCGCCATCTAGGATTTTTAAACTTCTTTAGTACTTTTCATATTAGTCTATAGCCCTGTGCATGGAAGCTACCATCTAAGCATTATCCAGACCCAACCCTGCTTAGTGTTTTGTTTTATTTTGATCACACAACACCTGTTATGCCATTTGATCATGAGGATCAATCATGGACCCAATTCACATTTTCTACTTGTCCCATAGCTACTACAGGCTTCCTACCATTCTTCAGTTCAGGAAGTGACAATATAGTCCTCCTTCTACTCTCAGCCCATTATACTTATTGACAGACTTGTTGTAGGTCTGAAGCTTTACTTTTCTATCCTGAGCAGTTTTCAGCCTTTCACGTGATTGGTGTATCATGCTTCATTCAATTTAGCATCATCCCCAGCTCTGATTGGCTGCAGTGCCTGGTCCACCTCTCTCTTTCAGTGGCTAGTTGCTACCTGTATAGCCATTCACTCTGTGACCAATGTACTGGAATTCATCAGTACTTTGAGCCTCGGTGGCGCAGTGATTAGAATGCAGGACTGCAGGCTACTTCTGCTGACTTCCAGCTGCTTGCAATTTGGCAGTTCAAATCCCACCAGGCTCAAGGTTGACTCAGCCTTCCATCCTTCCAAGGTGGGTAAAATGAGGACCAAGATTGTTGAAAACAATATGCTGACTCTGTAAAACTACTTAGAGAGGTCTGTAAAGCACTGTAAAGCGGTACATAAGTCTAAGTGCTATTGCTACACTGCCCCCCACCCCCGGCCTTAATAAAATGCTTAAGTTGCAATGTAGGCATGATGGAATGAAACTCCTCAGTTACAATGAATGCTACTCCTTTGTTTCTATGAATTTAAGCCATAAATTGTATAAAGTTTCTGTGGTATAATGAAATGAAGAAACAACCGTGACCCCTTTCTTGTGTTATTATACCATCAGTCCAATAATGCTACAACAGGGGATAGGATGGTGGTGATGATAGAAAGAGAGGATATTATACTTCCCAATCTGTAGATGCTGAAGAGAGGGAACAGACCAAACATATCACTTTCATCCCTGCCTACTTTGTCATGGATACAGAGGTACAGATGTCTTTGTATCCCAGACAGATTCTACTTTTCTCAGCCTTAAGAAAACCCTAGTCCAGGATTTAATCTACACAAAGCATGGACTCTGATATGGCTTTCCCTTTCAGTCTTTCTGAAATCTCTGTACTTGAGTATCCTCAGCTGAGAATCTAAAGTTCCAAAGTTATAATGCTCAAACAAACGAACACAGACAATGCAGAGTTAAATGTTTCTGTTTACACAGTCCTTGGCAGTCTTCCTAGAATCTGTCTGGCAAGTCCAAGCTGATTATAAATCACGATGCTGCATCCAAGAGGGTCAAACGTATTCTTCCGAATCCCAAAATGCACTTTGCTCCAAGCAAAGATTGAGAGCCAGCACGCCTCCTTAAATCCCCTGGAGGGGTGTGTCAGTCTCTCTAATTAATCCCTGGCTTGACGTCTCTTTTCAGATTGTGATTGACGTTTCAATCTTCTTCTAGTCCTAGCATCAAGCCAACATCCGTCAGTCTCGTCCTCACTTGAAGCCTCTGGCTCATTCTGTGGATCAGCTGCTGACACATGAGGTATGAATGAAGTGGAAGGTTCTGGAGACGACCGTGTCTCCGACACTCCTTCATCCTCCTGGCTCACATCTGTGTCTTCTGATGCCTCAGACTCCAAATTCACGGCAGGCTCAAACCTTCCATCTTCAGATGCATCAGATTCAAAACTCCTGGCAGACTCAATCCTTCCAGTCACAACACATTTTTAAGCATTTCTCACATTCCAAATGTGTCCTTTTCTGGAACATTAAACGCTTCCAAGTTGTATTCTTATTAAATATAGAATTGATGGTCCCTCTTCTCATGTGCATTTATTTGCTTTGAGTCTGAAGAAAAGCATTCATTTTGAGGGAAATGTGAACAAGACAATGCTGTTTGTGTTTCACAGAATTGTGCTTTCTAAGATAGTTTCCTTTAGGGTTATTATTGTTTTGAAAAATTCCTACCTAGGTGGTAAAGTCAGAGTCTAAATACCATATTTGTCCAGGAAATCAAGATATAAGCCAAAATAACCCCGGTTTAGACCAGAATACTGTAAATAAGAGAGCTGGGTGGGTCTTTGCGTATATTATAGCCTTGCTTACAATATAAATAAAGGCAACACTCTCATTTAAGAATTATGTGTTGTTTCCATGACTGGAATAATTTTATGAATGGAGAAAATACATGAAAACACAGGAATATATTTTTCTGGAGATACTTCCTACAACTTGCAATATGAATCAACAGATAACAACCATACAAATTCAGACTCTAAGGTTAGATCTTGTTCCTAAAATCTCATCACAATGGATCAGCTTTGCACAGAACAAAATCCCATAGATTCAGGAAAAGTGTTTAACAGCATAAACCTTAAACATCTTTGTTTAAGAATTCTGGGGAACTGAGTCTGTTACAAAAATGCTAAAGGAATGAATGTTGAAGCAGGAAAAGAAGGATCTTTTTACATTAATGGCATAAGTTTAAACTCCATTGTTATGATTTCCTAGCCTCTTTCTTAACAAAGAGCTATTAGCCTTGACCTGGATTAGGCTTTCAGCTGTGCAATTTTCTTACTGGAAATCTTCCAATCCTGCCATTTGTGTCTGGATCTCAAGTTCCATCAGCTGAATCCTCTAATTCCAATACTGATGCATCATTATATTCACAAAATAGGTGGTGGGTAAATCAAAAGTCCGCCATTAAATTCAGTGGAGTCAAAATACGCTGGCTCTTTTCTTTCTTTTCATATTTTCACAACAGGAAGTCACTGCATATCGAATTAGATCATTACACAGTCTTGTCCAATATAATCTACAATGGTCGGGATTGCAGCAAGCTATATTATGGCTTGTTTAATTTGGATTTAGCATGTTATATAAACCCAGCAATTAGGAGTTATGGGTTAGAAAACGAACTATGGTTTAACTCAATGTATAAGTCCAGTCCATGTCTGGACTTTTTAGATGTTTCACTGATTTTATTCTTAGTGTTGAAACTGTAGAGGATAGGAAAATGACCTTGAAGGAAATAAACAAGAAAAAGCGCTATCCGGCTTGCAAGATTGCCGTTTGATGTAGACTAGATCAGGAAACAGACTCCACTGGAAAAAATCAACCATACCTAATCGAGATAGGCTATAAAACAACATTTTGCAAGTCTGATTGTATTTTACCTCCTTCTCTTCCCAGGATTTAAGAATGTCTCTGCCTGCTTCCTTTGCTTACTTAACAATTCCTACCTCTTTCCCTCAAGTTCATCTTCCTAATGCTCTACTACAGAAACTGTACTTAGGACTCCCAAATGCAAACAAGCTAAAATTCCAATGGCAGCCAGTTGTATGCTGGAACTTACAACACAGAGCCACTGCAATTCTCATTTCTCCTAACAAAGGCACAAGGAAAAATGCTCCCCTTCCTCCTCCTCCTCCTCTTCTCCAAACTACAGTTCAAGTTCATCCCTTAAATGCAAAAGTATTCTGATGGGCCACACTGGCAGATGACACCTAGCTGAGAAAGGTATGGTACAGGAAATCTTAGATATAATCTCAAGGCAATTGCCTAGATGGCAAAGCAACCGTCACCATGTGTTAAAAGGCCCATTAACTCTGTCACATTATAACATTGGCAGCTAAATAAATGTACTTTTTCCTAAGACAGAATCACAGAAGATTTTAGTAACCTACTCCCCTACTCCTCAAATCATATCTGACTGAAAGGTGTTATTCAAAAAAATCATAGCACACTCACCTGTAGGAAAAACAGAAAGGACTTTGATCAAGAAAACATCCATTACTCCTGGAAGTGTCAACAGCCGAATAATTTCTTGGAGGCTAAAAATACTACTGGACTGGGATGTTCCTAGGGGGAAAAAAAGATAAAATATTTTGCAGACAAAGGTAAGCCTTTGAAACAAAATAATATAAAATGTTTTCTAATTATATGTACAGTTATGGGCCTGTAGTTGTAGATGTAGTAAATAGTATATAGTAGTAGATGTTAAGACTCTAGGAAGAGTGCAGAGAAGAGCAACAAAGATGATTCAGGGGCTGGAGGCTAAAACATATAAAGAGCGGTTGCAGGAACTGGGTATCACTAGTTTAATGATAAGTTATATGATAGCAGAGTTCCAGTATTTGAGGGGCTGCCACAAAGAAGAGGCGGTCAACCTATTTTCCAAAGTACCAACAATGGATGAAAACTAATCAAGGAAAGAAGCAACCTAGAATTAAGGAGAAATTTCCTGATAGTGAGGAACAATTAAACGGTGGAATGGCTTGCCTTCAGAAGTTGTAGATGCTCCATCACTGAAGCTTCTAAGCAGAGACTGGACACTCACAGCCACTTGTCTGAAATGATATAGGGCCTCCTGCATGAGGACAGAATTGGACTAAAAAGCTTCTAAAGTCCTTTCCAACTCTGTTATTCTGTTAACATAGTGTGATTTTATGGCAATCTGTTCTGAGAATATTATGGGATACTTTCATTACTGCTTGCAGCTGCACAGGTTGCCATGTTTTAATGGGCTGGAGATGGAAAGATTAAGCTTCTCCTTTTGGTCTTACAGTTCCGTCCAGGCCAGGCCTCCTCCCCTCCAATTCCTATAATTAGTTTTAGAGAAAAAGAGATATCAGAATATGATGTGCTGGTTCCTTATTTCTTTCTCTCTGGACACCTTAAGAATTTTGAAAGAAAGTATGGATGTTGTTGTAGAGCGGTGGAGATACGAGGCTGAGCCAGAGCGTTCGTTTAAAAGGTGCTTTATTCTGGTGAATAAAGGGTTGCCGCGTCTGCCAGGCTAACTCGGCAGATCAGCTGGCGGCAACAGCTGATGCCGTTTGACAGCCCCTTTTATAGCCGGCTGTCAAACTGCATCAGCCAATGGGAGCGGTCGGCGCTCCCGCTCGAACTGCGGACCTGGTTGGGAACTCCAGTCAGTTCTATAGACACAACAGATGTTTTCATAAAATGGCTGTAATAGGCAAGTTTTTCCAGACATAAAATGGCTACCACTGTGCATGAGAATAGTCAGATCCTTCTATTCATTAGGGGGGGAAAAACAGGTCCAGGTTATCATGATGTTATCTTCTGGGGAGATGGATACAGTACCAAAGTAAGTAATGGTCTATGTCTCTTCCTCTCTTTTTATTTCTGAAGGATGCCAAGGGCATCTGAGACATTTTGGAAATAAAAGGGGTAGCTTAAAATTGGCATTTGCGCTGTGGCAGGCCAGTGTCCCATTTCATTTATCTACTAAATGAATCTTTCCAAAAGATTTTTGTCTAGTGGAGCAGAGGATACATAGCTACAAAGGAAGGTGTTCATAGACACTCTGGTGCACAATGCTGACACACTGGGGAATCAGACTGTGCAGTAAGCATAGAGGATAATTCGACCCTTCTGAATTATGGCTAACTTCCAAGTATGTTGGTATAACACTATAATGCCCACATTCCAAAGTCTCTGTCTATCTCAGGTAAAATCTGTGTAAATGTCTAAATTATGAACAATTCTTTTTTAAAAATAAATACATCTAATTTATTTTTATGTAGTAAGCGCACTCAGCATCTTTAGAATAAATATATAATTATAAGTGTCTGAATAAATCAGCCTCCTACAAAGTGGCAATTTCCAACTGTGTTGTATTGTAATTGTAATCATTTCCATCCCATATGGCCAATGCTACCTGAAGATTTGGCAGTTTAGTTCCTCTGATCAGGAAAGACTAGATATAAAGAGATCCCCAAATCCCTGTTTCATTTCCATACATAAATACTTGAAACTTTACTTTCCAAACATCTGAAGCTCAAGAGAGTATGGCTTCTTGGAATAGTGTATGTATGTGAAGAGAACTTAGTGTACGCAGAGAATAAACACTGCACAACCAGCAATGAGCCCTAGAACAGTGGTCCCCAACCTTTCCAGATCTGTGGACTAGCAGTGGCCCGGGGGCCGGGACAGGGGGTAGAGGGGATGGTTTTACACACACCTACTGCTTGTGCAAATGGAGCTTAAGACCCTTGTGCACTCACCCACCCCTTGCACAGACCAGGGGTTAGGAACTTCTGCCCTAGAATGAATCCATTCTATTTTCCTCTTTAAATAAGCAATGAGTTAAATAAATTTCATGATAGCCTTTATCTTCCATTCTTCCTTACTCCCCTCTACTCTGTTATGTGTGGTACAAGCCAGATGTCAAGCCAATATTCAATAGCCCTATTTTTATTACTCTATATTATGGCATATGGTAAAAAAGCAGGAGGCTACTGATTTTGAAATCTTTACTAGAGCAAATCTTTACCGTGACCCAAGTCACAAAAGTAAGGTAGTTGAGTTCTTCACACTATCTTTCTTTGGTAAAACAAGCTTAAAAACACACACAAAGGGACAAGAAGGGGGGAAAAGGCTATTCCAGGCCCAAATCTGCATTTAGTCATAATTTAGTCATTTAGTCTTGACATAATTTATGGGAATCAGCTGCAAATATTTAAATTAGGTAAAGGTAAAGATTTCCCTTGCACATACGTGCTAGTCATTTCCGGCTCTAGGGGGCGGTGCTCATCTCCATTACAAAGCCGAAGAGCTAGGGCTGTCCGAAGACATCTCTGTGGTCATGTGGCCGGCATGACTAAATGCCGAAAGTGCACGGAATGCTGTTACCTTCCCACCAAAGTGGTCTCTAGTTTTCCACTTGCATTTTTTCATGCTTTTGAACTGCTAAATTGGCAGAAGCTGGGACAAGTTAATGGGAGCTCACACCGTTACGTGGCACTAGGGATTCGAACCGCTGAACTGCCGACCTGCCGACCTTTCTGATCAACAAAGCTCAGCGTCTTAGCCATTGAGCCACCGCGTCCCTGATATTCAAATTAGACCGTACTATATTCTCAAGCAGCTTCAGATCATATCCAGAACTCATTCATGGGCTACTGGGATGAAGAAACAAACCATATTTTTTTTATGTGTGAAGGACATCAAGTCAAGGGAGTCCAGCCTACTTACTGCTGGAGTAAATGCTTTAGCATAACACTACTCACATGTATATCTACCAGCCAGTTAAGGATTGCAATACATTAAAGCCAGCATTTTTCCCCCCAGGGAACAAAACAATCACACTTCCACCTACCTTGGGATTAAGGTGAAGTTCCCTAAACCTGTGCCATGCAATTGAAATGGAAAGCAACCCTAGCCTAATTTAAAGGATACTCATAGACTAACCCCTAATGGTTTTAGTTCAGACTTTCAGGCTGAAATATTTTGGGTTTCCCCCTCCCTTCTTAAAGCTCAGATGTGGCAAGCACTCACCCTGTTGTGCTTCATTTCTCTTGGACTGTGGCTTTGTCTGGGAAGGAATACAAAGAAGTGCCATCAAGGCACAGGTAAGGTATCCAGCTACTGCAACATAGCAAGGAACAGCAACACTGCAAATAGAGAAGAGATCAATGGAGCTACTGTGTAATGAATACTCAGGTAGGAGCACAGTGGGAGGCCCTTTTTCCTGATATTTTTGCCCTTAAAAGCTTTCTTTTTTTGAGTTGGGAAAGAAAACAAAACAAGTAAATGTCTGAAGTTAAGATGGTGATGAAAAAAATAACTTTATGACCAGTCTTCCCAATTACAAGTCTGTAAAGCAAAGAAAAATTGAAGTTAAGACCATAAAAACAGTTGCAATTTCACTTCGTTATGACTTCACTTAATGACTGAATTGCTGATCCCAATTGTGTTCAGTAAACAAGCACTACCTATAGAAGAATCTATGACTTACCTAGGATTAAAACTGGGGAAAGAGAATGTCTGAACTTCATTCTGCAAATGAGTTAAGGTGATTGTTTTCATGTGAATCCATTATGTACATGACCTGCATTTATTTTAGTGCTATACTCTGAGCTCTTAATTCAGTTGCACGGGAGAGGGGAGGTAAGACTGCAATTCTTAATTAATAAACTCAACGTTGTTGAACTGAATCAGTCTCATTTGATAGCAAACTTATTTAATACAGTGCAAATTCGAGCCAGCTCAAGTTTTCAAACTTATCTTAACCCTAATTCTGCTTCATATTAGAGCAGATTCCTAACTGTTATCCTTGATAGGTCCTAATAAACATACTGGGGCTGGATTGACACATCATACAGTAGCTATACTGTGGTATGTTTAACTTTGGTTTAGCATGTTCTGAGAACATAGTCTCTGTTGATAGCTTACTGTCTTGAGGGAACAGTGGCTTATTTAGTAAGATTAAACATGGTTTATTTGCACTATGTGTGGCTCAACCCTGTGCATACGATTTTACTGGAACTGAAAAATTCCTGTTTCACTTGGTTCTGATAAATATTTCTGCTGGTCTTTATTTATCATAAAACAGGCTTTTGTTTACATTTTACATTACATGCACTAATGCAAAGCAAACAATGAAATGTCAAATGCCAATTATAAATAGGAAGAAGGAAGTTCAAATCCTAAATCTTTTCTTTTCTGCAGTCCAAAAGAAAAAAGAAAAGAAAAAAAAAGAGCTCTGGGAAGCAACTTGGCAAACAATATTTCTTTTCATGGCTTTTAGAGTTATGGGCATTGAATACAATACTTCTGAAAGGCACCATGATTGAAGAAGATTGAATCAGTTCCCCCCCCCTCCAGCCTGTGGGAAATTGTCTTAGCATTGGTGATACCATCACTTGAGACTTTCAAGAAGAGATTGGACTGCCATTTGTCAGAAATGGTGTAGGGTCTCCCGCTTGGGCGGGGGATTGGACTAGATGACCTACAAGGTCCCTTCCAACTCTGATTATCTGTTATCTGTTATACCTATTGATATTCTAAGTCTTTGCATATTTTGGATGTTCAGTGCTGTTGTAACATAAATGATTCCCTTGATTCCTTGTTCCAGTGGAGAGATCCTTTACAGAATAACAGTATTGGAAGAGAGCTTGGAGGTCTTTTAATCCAACCTCCTGCTCAAGCAGGAGATTCTATACCCTTCTGGATAATTGGCTGTTCTTTGAAACCTCCAGTGATGAAGCACCCACAACTTTTGGAGGTAAGGTATTCCACCGATTAATTGTTCTCATCGTCAGAAAATTTCTCTTTAGTTTTAGGCTGGATTTCTCCACGCGATAAGTTTCCATCCATTATTTCTGTCCTACCCACAAGTGCTTTGGAGAATAGGTTGACTCTTCCCTGTGACAGCCCTCAAATATTGGAAGATATATTCTTGAATGAAAAAAGGGTCTTTGCAGCTTCTCTTTCTTCTTTTTAGCTTTTTAGCTTCCAAGGCCACCATCCATGTGGGCAGTGGAAAGCATAATTCCTGATAGCTGAATAAAACTAATTATCTTAATTTCTTAGTTATTGCTGTGCTGCTGTCAGTCACAGGACGAATTATGTCATATAATTATTAAACCCACTTTTTTTTTTTTAGAAAGCTCAACATATTTTAAGTCGGATGAAAGTGTTGCTTGACTGGCATCAAAGATTTGTATTGCTGCTAAAACAAGATAGTTAAGCTTGGTAATGTATATAAATGAAGAACTTCAAAGGATAACATATACAGTACAATGGCTGGAGAGAGCAATTTGAACAGTCCAGAGTGACGGAATGTCTGATTATATGGTAATTAGAACAACTTTCAAAAAAAAAAAAAATCAAGGAAACAAACGTTTCAACAAATTGGAATCTTCTAATGTAGGATCAAACTAATACGTTCTAGGTGTCATGAGCCTCAAAATGAATTAATTATTTTCTTGTACTTTCCAGTTTGAGCAAGAGAAAGAGATAATTAGTCCATCTGTCTATCGCCTCAGCACTGTACTTGTTTTAATTTGCCTAATACAAGTAACTATGAGTCTAGAGTTTAATTTGTAAATATTTTAAGTGGATTGTATTATTTGTATGGAATATAATTGTATAAATAAAATAAAACCAATAGAAATGAAAGCAGGGACACTATGAAGCTAAATATTTAAGGATCTCAGAAATACAGATTGGAGTCTCGTAAAAATATTCCAGCCCCACTCAACCTTTTTCAGGCTTAATTGTACAATGAAAGAGAAAGCAGACTGCACAGCCACTGAATGTTAAATTTAAGAGAATACTTCAGTCTGTGATTTCCAGTATCATGGTTCATCTTAATAAATCTTGACTTTATCAATATGTTGGAATTTTCAGAAGCAAATGTGAGTTGGACAAATTAGCTCAGAAAATCTCAGATTTTCAGATTCACATACTGTACAGTATACAGTATTTAAGTATCCATTCTCTAATACCACATGGGGGCAAAAATAAGGTGATCAAAATTTTTAATTCTTTTCAGTGTTGTAAAAAAAGTGAATACTTTCAGCATTCCTTTCTAAAGAAAAAAAAAACTATTTCCATACTAATTCAATGAGTGGGATGTGGGATTGTTGTATTTAGGGTTAAGTGTTAGATGTTGGCTTTCATTATATCATCATCTCTTCCTTTGCCTACAGCTTCCTTGGCTTATCACAAGCAAATTCTGTATATCAGAAGACAACTCTTTCAATGAAATTTTGTACACTGCTGCAGAGTGATGGAGAGACCTATGTAACAGAAAAAAGCAACAACAGTTATGGTAAGACAGCAATAAGGACATCAAGTGAAGATGGTGGCTTCAACCATGTGATCAACCTGTAGGTGCTAGCAGGGGTGTGAATCAATCAGTGTAACAACCAGTTTAGTGAGTGTGCGCCTGCGCCAAACATGCGCTTTGCATGGCGCCAAGGGTTTGCTTTTTTCACTCTTATGTCCATTGTAATATCCTCATGGTCATATGATCAAAATTTGGGGGCTTGGCAACTGGGATCTATTTATGACAGCTGCACTGTCCTGGGGCCATATGATCCCCATTTGTAACTTTCCCAGCCAGCATCTGACAAGCAAAGTCAAAGGGGGGGCAGTCAGATTTGCCTAAGGACCACATGATTCACTTAACAACTGCAGCAACTCGCTTAATAGCTGTGGCCAAAAGGGTTGTAAAATGGGGCAAAACTCCCTTGCTTAGTAACAATATTTTGGGATCAGTTGTGGTCGCAAGTTGAGGACTAGCTGGAGATAATTTTTTAAAGGAAAGTTATTTTTTTTCTTTCTGAATTTTTTTTTTAGGTGTTTAGGAGTTTTCTGAAGCGCATGCCATTTTATCCACCCAGATACAGAGATTAAAAAAAAATGGTCTCATGTTGACACATATTTTACTGCTCTGTACATTCAAGGAAAGTTAATATTGACTCCTTCCCAAGTCAGCTGGCACAGCTTTCATCTTATTGGCAGACCTCATTCCTTATCAGTTGTGTAGGAAACCCAACTGCAATGACTGATGATTGTATTTGCAGTGTCTAGTACAAGATTGTTCTGGAGATTATAAAGGTACTTAATGACAGATTAGCTTTCAGAATAGCATACCTGATTATGGACATACCAGAGTCTTTGTGTTTGAATACTGGGCAATCTCTCCAGCCATTGAAAAATAGAAAATGACTCAGGTATACGGTTTCCATAGGGCTGTGTGTGTGTGTGTGTGAGACAGAGAAAGAAAGAGAGTGTGCAACCAAGAGAGAAATCTATCCTTTGACAAGCAGAGAGGAGTTGAGTTTTAAAAGTTAGCATTCCTTTTCAAAGGGAGGGAATTTTGCCTCAGATGAGGAGAAGTGAGCAGCATGTGTTAATCATAGATTTTTAACCCACTGGTAATGGATAACCACCTGAAATTAATAACCATGGCCTTGAAAGTAAAGCAGCTGCAAAGCACAAGTCTTAAAGTTGCCAAGGTTGGTTATCCCTGGTTTATAAATTGCTTATCCGTGCTATATTATTTGGGCAAGAGCGACTATGGTTTGGATTACCAGGTTACTAGGTTTCCCTGACTGGAAGAAAAAACTCCCACTGTAACAAATCCAGATTTGTTACAGTGAGGTAATTTTGGCATAAATGTGGCTCAAAAACTTCTAGAAACCTGAGTGATGAGACCAAGGAGAGCGGGAAGTAACAATATCCGCATGCAATATTTAAACTAAAAAAAACAACAATTCAGAGTTCTCATTCAAGGCACAAAATGACCAGACTCATTAAATGAGTTCTCATTATGCTGCTTTGGACACATGCAAAGATCCAGCTCCCTGGGAAAGGAAAGAGAAGAAGAGGATGGCCACAGCAAGATGAATGGACTCAGTTATAATGGCAATGGTGTAACATTGAGAGGCTTGAAAGAACAAGTTATAGATGGAACATCAGAAAATTCACGTGGTTGCTAGGAGTCAAAAATGACGATGGCATAACAAACAATCAAGATATTGCATAAGGATATTTCTGCACTTGAACATGTAACCTTCCCTGTATGTCATGAGCTATTCACGATTACATCCCAGCATTTCTTGCATTAGTTCCCCAATCCCTGGACCAACTTCTGGACCTT